TAGATAGATAGATAGATAGATAGATAGATAGATAGATAGATAGATAGATAGATAGATAGACAGACAAATATAGATAAAAATTTTAGTGAAGTAAATAGAAAAAAATAGATCAAGTTAAAAATCTTAGTTTTCTAAATATAGTAGGTAGCCATAATCTAACTTAATAAGGGCAAAGCATGCTGGATCACTAAGAATATGCCACCTCAAAAAAATGGCTGTAGAAGACCAGAATACACCCACCCAAAACATGACTATTTTTAAATGCTATTGGCATATATTAATTATACATGATAATAGGTTTCAATGTGACATTTTCATACAAGTACATGGTATGCGTCAAGCATGCTCACTGCTTTGCCCTCTCTTGGACCCTCCCACCCTCACGAATCCCCTTCTTAACTAACTCTCTTCTACTTTCACATCTTTTTTTTCTTTTAACAGCCCAATGAGTTTCATAATGAGACTTACTGGAACATAGGTGAAGGTTTGTTTACAGAACCCAGATGCCTTACCAGGCATTCCAGCACCAATGAAAACCTGTCTCCCTCTTACATCAACTGCATAGAAGTCCTCAGGGAAAGGGGTTCCCCATGAGACTCTCCCCACTCCATGACAAGATGTTGACAAGCATCTCACGCAGGAGATCACAGCCGCTGGAAGCTTAAGAACGGAACATTCATGTCGTGCCTGGAAATCCACATGCCAGCCCTGGTCCTTACTTACCGCCTCTGGGTCTCACATTCTTTCTGCCCCTGCTACAACAATCCCTGGGCCTTGATGAGATGATACAGATTTTCTATTTATGGCTGAGCTTTCAACAGACACTTGTTCTTAGTGTGTTGAGCACTACTCAACGCCACTACCCACTACAAAAAGAACCTTCTCTGGTTTGCAAGGTGGCTCGGTGGGTAAAGACCCTTGTTCCCAAGCCCAACGATCTAAATTCCATTCCTGGTCCCACATGGTGGAAGGCAAGAACCAACTCTTGCAAGTTGTCCTCTGACCTTCACAGTCACGGGTCACACCTTGCCGCCACATACACACATACATGGCAAAATAAATAAGTGTAAAACAGTTTTAATATTTTTCAAAGATGCTTCTCCAACAATGTTGACGGCAGCACTGATCTGTGGGTGCCTACATACTTAAGAGGGTGCCAATTGGATGGGCACATCTTGTTCGTTTATCAAAGCCGCAGCAGTAGCTCTCAGGCTACTCATTCAGGCTGCAGTTCGCTTTCTCCATGACTTATGACCACAGGCTACTGGTGTCTTCAGCAGTGGGGTCTCTTTCTCTTGTTCTGCCTGGCAAACTACAGCAGCATCCATTGCCCGTCTTGTTTTGACAGCCTCAGACAATCTCCCGGACCAGCAGCTCTGACGGGGATAGCCCACCTCTAGTTCTGGGGTTTTCATTCCAGAGCCAACAGCTTCTAATAGCCGTTTTGTCCGTACCCAAAGGGCACCACCTCTCGCACTGTTTTGAATTAACTTACCAAGTCCAAGGTTTCCTTATGGCTTCTTCACACCTCGCTACGAACGACCCTCCCCCATCACTGCTTCTCTTCCATTTCCTTGCTCCTCTCCCAACTTAGACATTTCCAGCCCCCGTATTTCTTCACCAACTCACACATCACATCACTTATGTTCCACACCCTTCTGTCCCCCAGCCCCGTGGGGCCTTTTCTAGCTTCTTGTCTCTCCGCACACCCATCCGCACATAATGCACGTTGTGAGCAATAGGATCTAGGGCACATATGTAAGAGAGAATGTGGACGTTGTCTCTGTGACACTGTTACCTCACTTCAACTAGTTCCCAGCTCCATCCATTTATTTACGTGCTAGTTTCATAATTGTGCTTACCTTTGCAGCTAGGAAGAATTCCATTGCGCACCTGGACTCCTTTTTCATTAGTCATCCATCTGCTCGTGGGCATCTCTGCCGGTTCCATTTCCTTGCTGGATGTGAATAATGCAGTAATAAACGTGAATTAAATAAATATCTCTATAGGGTATGGAGTTCTTTGGGTACGAGCACAGGGGTGGAACAGCTGAGTCACGTATGAGTTCTATTTTTAGCATTTTGAAAAGAAAAAACAAAAACAAGATCTCCACACGGATTTCTGTGGTGGCTGCACCAATTTATACTCCTGCCAAGAGTGCATAGAAGTTCCAGTTTCCCCACATCTGCATCAGCGTTCTGGTCGTTTGTTTCCTTGGTGATCTGTTTTAATTCAAATGAGATAGAACCTCGAAGGACTTTTAACTTGCATCTCCCTGATGTTAAGGATGTTGAAGACTTTTTCAAATTTTTTGTGGGAATTGTTATTTCTCCTCTGGAAATTGTATTTTTAGTTCCCTAACCCATTTTTTTAAACCAGGTAGCTTATTTTCTGTTGTTTAGGCTTCTGACGTATATTGTGAACAATAATCGCCTCTTAGGTGGATAACTGGTAAATATCCTCTCATTCTGTAGGCTGCTTCGGCTCTTGGCTATATTCTCATTGCTGGACATATGCCTCTTCATTTCATGGAGAACCATTTGTAGAGTGTAAAGCCTTATTCAGAGAGTCCTTACCTATGCGTAGATCTTAAACCCTTTCCGTGGTGTCTAAATTTGAGTTTTCAGGTTTCAGACACTGATCCGCCTGGATTTCTGTGCCCGATGAGAGATGAGGGTCTAGTTCCTTTCTTCTGCACGCAGTTGTCCTATTTGACCGGCACCATTTGTTAAAGACCCTGTCTTTTCGCCAATGTGTACTTCTTACTTCTTTGTCAAATATCACATGGATCAATCCACGCTCTTGAACCTGAGTCCTTTCTTCTGGCCCACTGACCTACACGTCTGTTTTTGTGCCAGGACCATGCAGTCTTTATTATTATGTATAGCTCTGTAGCTTAAACTGAAATCAAGTATGCTGGTAACTTTAGCAGCATTTGATGTCCGGGATTGGTTTGGAAATTCCTGTGTTTCCATATTAATGTTTCATACATTTTAATTCAAATATAATTACATCATTCTCCCTTTTCCTTTTTCTCCCTTCAGTCTCCCCCAAGTCCCTTCCCTCCAACTCCTTCCATGTCCCTCCCTCATTCTCAAATTTATAGTCTCTTTTTATTGTTTTCATTATATATACATGTATATACATGTATAAGCATATAAATATAACCTGCTGGGTCCATCTTTGGTTTGTGTGTGTGTGTGTGTGTGTGTGTGTGTGTGTGTGTGTGTGTATGTTTTGAGTCTAACTGCTTTGTATTAGATAAGCAGTTAGGGGATTCATCCCTGGGAAAGACTAATTCTTCTTCTCTGGGCTATCATTAGCTAACTGTGATTCTTTGCCTAGGGATGAGACCCTGTGAGATTTTCTCCCTTCTGTGTTAGCATGTCTAATGTTATTGTCAGGGTTTAGGTCTTGTTTGTGCAGTCACACGAGGAAAGATAGTCTTAGAGCAGACTTCCTGATATTCTGGCTCTTTCAATGTTTCAGACTTCTTCTGATATGTTCCCTGAGCAAAGGTGCAGAGCCTACGCTACAGATCTATCTGTCTGCCCCCCCGTCACACACACACAACACTGATCTCTGTCTATGTCCAGTTGTAGTTTTCTGTAATGGCCTCCAGTTGCTGTAAAGAGTGGCTTCTTTGGTGAGGAGTAGCTGCACTTATCTGTGGGTATAAAGCTAAGATATAAAATGTACTGGGGAATTATTCTGATCTAACAAGCTGAGGTAGTAGGCTTTTCTCTAAGACCCATGGCCTCACCGGCCCTGGGAAGTTAACTAGGTATCTGGTAACAGGAGTGGCTTCTTCCTTGTTGAGTGGATCATAAATACAATTAGACAGCTGTTGGTGACCACATGTAGGGAGTTGAGGAAGTCTCAAGTGAATTCATAAGGCACGGAGGAAGTCCTAAGCAAATGTGTATTATTGACAAGAACCAGTGCCTCAGACTCATGAGAACTGGCAACGCCTTCTCCTGTTCCATATGCAAATGTTGGCAGCGTGTCCAGGAAGCGTTGACTACAACGTCCTCATTCCAGATGTGGACAGCCTGAGACTGCTCACCTATAGAGACCTCCTGCTGAGGCTAGCCAACCCCTCCCCCATGCTGTATACAGGAGATTCACCGAGGTTCTGGTTTTGTAGTTGGTACCAGTCTATCCGAGTGATCACAGTCCACCTGACCCCAGCTTTCCTGTACAT